CAAAAATATTTTCTTTAAAAAAGAATCTGTATGAAATCAGGTCATTGTGGAGTACTGTAGGTGCAAACAAGCAGGGTGATAGTTCAGCCGTGCACACATAGAAACATTACGTGGCATTGCAGTGCCATCCTGTATATAGGCAGAAGTATAAAAGGTTATTAGTAGCTCATCAGGGCATTAATTAATTTTTTTAGGGCTCAGCCACACAATGCCCTTACCCTTGGATGGGTTACTCTTATACTTGGTCCCTTTTAACCTTGTGCATAGGCGTCATAGGATCCAACAGGCAGGACTGCAAAATATTTAGGGCTTGTGAGGTAGAAGGTATAGGGCTTGTGAGGAAGGAAGACTTACTGCTTTACAGATGAATATAAATAACAGTTCATAAACTTCTTGGATCATGTGAAAACTTGTCACCTCCTTTAGTTGTGTGAATCTTGTGTCTCACTGCCTCTGTATAAACAGTGGCTAGTGAGGATGAGCAGGTGACTGTTGATACGCTGCTCCTGAAATGTCTACAGGTGAGACTAGCCACCTGCATACAGGCAATAGAACTATTTCCATAGAGCTCCAGGATATGTCATTATTGCTGTAAAAGTAAGAACTGCCTTTACTAAACATTACTGTGAAGAATACTGATTTCTGAAAATGGATAAAAAAAAAAAAAAAGTTAATTAACATTTAGCTCCTTGGTTTCAGCTTGTTCCATACTCTCATAATTCAGGTATTATGCTGACTTCCAATTCAGGTAGGTAGGTAGGGCTCTGTTCACACATCATTAAGTGACACTTGTTTCTAGATAATTTGCCTTTTGCATGCACTATTTTAAGTCACTGACAGCAAAGCTTCTGTAATCGATGAAGAGATAATCCAGCTTTGCTTATTCCAAAGGATGACAAGAAGTAAATTTTTGTTTCGAAGTAGTTTTTTTGCTATTGTAACTTCTAAATATATGCCTTCCAAATTAAGGAAATGAGTTTGTCTCATTATATGAAACTAAGAGCCAGTTTTGTTTGTTCTTAACACGTTGGAACATGAGGATAGAGATTAGGGTTTGGGAGTACTGTGGCTTGCCAGCACTGCACTGGCAGTCAGAGAATAAAAGTCAGGACAAACTCTGTGCCCTGGGCGCATAATTTATTCTCTTTGCTTTTTCCATATTTTTTGCATTTCTTTCCTTCCCCTGGATAAGTTTTCTGCCCAAGGGTGTAGATTTACATAAATTGATAAAAAATTGCTCTTTAAAAACTAAATAAAGACAAATCTATCCCCAAAAGCTTTACAGAGCTGTCATTCTGGTCAGACTTGTGTAATATTAAAAGCATTTAAGTGTAACAAAGGGCTATAATCATCATATCCAAGTGTGACCTTTCTGGAAAGCGCAGCAATATAAAATATGGTTCAGAATAAGTATAGTTACCCCTTCAGTGATGGGACAAGTCTTGGACTTTGATTTCTTCTTGACTTTTCTATTATTTGTCCTTATTTACCACAAAAATCAACACTGCACACTTTTTTTCTATTAATCATCTTCCAACTTAACACTTTTTGGAACCATCCGAATGCCCGTATAATAACTTTTTTGTTTTTTAACTTTACTGACGATGCTAGGTACTGCACCTCCAGAGAAAGTTCAAGAGGAGTCCTGAATATCAAGCAAAAAGATGAATAATAGATGGAATGGGTAAACTAGCAGATTTTTTTTTTCATTTAAAGTATATGTTGCACTAGTATTGTACAAGTGCAAACACACTGGCCTGCCAAAATGCAAAAGATTTAAATATACAATAGTGTTTGCTTTTAATCTTTAAGGCCTCCATTCTTAGAAATGCAGTAGAATTTGTGTTTGCTTTTCCTATCCATTGGGCTTACTTTGCAAGTTAGGAACTCTTTATTTTTTCCCCTCCTGGTTTCTGCATTAGTCAGGTGCAGCCAGGCTATTTATGCATATTCATAAAATTCATTTCCATCACACAAGTAGAGATGCAGATTACCACATGTATGCAGTATCTTCTCTTTGAGATGCACCTTTGAGTTTCCCTGACTGGAGCATAATGACCGAGTCTGATAATACACAGGATAGGACAGTATCTAGTTCACTTTTCTGCAGAGCTGAGAAAGCTCAGAGAATCAACAGGAAAAAGTGGCAGCAGCTGCTCACAAAAAATAGTGAACCATCTTAAATTTTCGTGGTAGAGTGAGCTGAATGGCTGAAAGTACCGTGAAGCAGTTCTAGACTTAAATTTTTGTTAGTTGTCGTATCGTTGTGTCAGGCCTTTGCACCCAAAATACAGGTATGCAGGTCTGGACAGCCAGGATGTGTGTGAAAAGCTAATAAATATTATATAAGTGAGCATTTGTATGGGGACTGTATCTTTTGTTCCGCACACAACTTACTGTGTGCGAGTGCTGCAGTGATACAGGTCATGTCCTGCAGTGAATGTTCCTGGGGCTTGGGGCCTTGCTCCTTGCATCCTAGTCTTACACTCCCATGTTGTATTCTTGCTAGTTGTTCTTCAGGCATCCAGCAGATACAACCTATAAACTCTGGCTTGCCATGTTTCAATGCAACCAGCTTCATGATCCTCTCATCAAAGATCTTAAAATGTCTTTTTTTTTTTTTTTTTTTTTTTTTGTGCAACATCGGGCAACTGGAAGCAATAATTTGAAAATATGAGGGCACTCAGGTTTCTGTTTAGCAGCACTTGCCTCCCAAGAAAGCCAGTACTCTCATCTAGTCTGTTTTTATCTGTCAGTGTTTGTAAATTAATATTAACAAGGTTAGTCTTAAGTAATATCTTAAATGCCTTTATCTTTTATTCTGCTCATTATGTCTAGCTATTTCTCCTTTTAGTATTTCATCCTAAACTTAAATTAAGAAGTCATTTGTATTGCAACCACTTTTTTTTTGTTTTCCCTTATACTAATGATGAGTTGGCCACCATTCCCTTGGAAGGTCATTGCATGCTAAAGCTGTGCCAGACTTGCTTCAAAATCATCTTGGTTTTGAGGTCGGGCAAGGGAACTAATTTCAGCTTTTGCGTTCTGTACACACCATCTCTTACAAACATCAAAATAAAGATCTCCATATATTGTAGAAGGAAGTGTTAATGAAACTGGCAGCAGTGGGTGGGATGAGGAGAAAATTAAAGAGAGAGTGAATGGTGGAAGAAGCAGGGAAAGCTAAATATAATGTTATAGCTGATGGCAGAGCAGTTGATGAAGTTTAATTCTGTTTTGTTATTTACTTACCACCTTTTGGGGAAGGTTGTTTGTCTTGCATGCATGAGCACACCTGGACACAAAAAAGAAGAAAACAGGAAATAGTTGTTATAGAGGCTTTATAACTGCAGGATTTTTTGTTTGGTTTTGGTGACGCGCAGGTCTTGTTTTCCTTTCAAGATGTCATTTTGAGTGTTGACATATATGGGGGACTTGAGATATTCAGCACTGCTGAAAAATCAGTGAGTTCTATATGCAAAAGTGCAGAATATAGAACAAAAAGCTACAATTTCACTTCAGTGAGAATTGGTAGAACGGATTATACTTACATGAGAGTTACAGTCACCTTTTCTTCCTGCTGGCTTAACAGCAAGTAAGGTGTGTTTTTTTTTCTTCTTCTTCTTTTTTTTTCTTATTTTTTCTTTTTTTTTCTTTTTTTTCTTTTCTTTTTTTTTTTCAGGATGGGATCATTATGTGGCAAAAAAGAGGAGTCAGTGATCTACCGTGTTCGTGTTCTTCACATTTTATTGGAAGAAGTGTTTTCTGTATTCAGTGAGCGAAGCCATTAGCATTCATGAGGGTAGAATGGGGAACATACTTCAGCATCATGCGTTTAATTTTGGCTTTCTTTGATTTGCTACATGTGTCTTAATGCATTTGTGTTTGTAAGCTGTTTTCACTTATGAGTGATCAAGAGGGGAAGAATTTAGAGTAGCAGCTTAGTGTTCTGTGTATCTATTTTTCTCTTTCACAGCAGACTTCCTCTGTGATAGGAGTGTTCTCGGTCTGTGTCTCAGTTCTGCAGCTGCACAGTGAACTTAGCAGCACCTCCCAGCCTCACATGTGCCATGTTTCTTTACCAATATAGCTTGAGGGTAGATGGCAGAGAACATGTATTTAAACCAAGTCTTGCCATAGAAGACTGACAATTAATTATTAGTAAAGTCTGAGATCTTCAGTGAAAATGTGTTTGAGATCAAAAATCTTGTTACAGATTTGCAGCTGATTTAGGTGGCTGGTTGTTATCTGAAAGCTTAACCAAGAGGGTCACTAAAGGATCTCAAGGGGTAGTGTTGTTGTATTGCAAGTCTGATGTATTTTTGTATCTGCTCATTGCTGGGTCTACATTTAAAATCTTCCGACATTATTCCTAGATTTTTGTGTTCAGTAGAATCTGAACATCTAACTTGGCTACTGGGACCAAAATATTGAGGAGTTAAATTTTCAAGTGAATAAATTTCTGATTCTCAGCATAGATTATTCTCAGTGGGTTTTTTTTCTGTTTAATGAGAGAGTTACCTACTTATAACCTGTTTATTGCTGACATGTAGGGTCAGAGCCTGGCAATCTTCTGTCAGCGTGGCTCGGTCATTCGTCTTTTCATCGTAGGTGCCATGATGCTTATAGTGCTGAAGCGTGGTTCATCTGGCCAGCAAGACCCGGGGGTGGTGTAGTGTTGTTATAAGCATGCTTTGGGAATGCTCCTTGGAGTTGTGACCAATATGGGGAGATTTTTGTAGGTACTGCGTAACCTTCCCTCAAAAGATGTTTGATTTTTCTTTTGTTAGTAGTTCAGAGTGTTTCCTGTACCTGTTTCTGATCTGCCTGGTCAAGGAGCACTAAGTATTTTATTATTATTTTTTTTTTATCATTGAACAATATGTTTGATGTCTTACAGAATTGCTATATTAATCTGCATTTAGAAAAACAAGGAGATGGTCTTGCATTCAGAAGCAAGTGTCTTATGTGGTATGTCTTGGTCAATCTCTCTCCTTCAGGCCACTGTCATGAGAAGAATCCAGATGACGGTCACGATAAGGAGAAGTACTTCAGTGACCCCCATGACTCAGTCACAGCAGTGGCTGGAGGACACCCTGAGGGAGATACAGAAGAAGATCCAGAGGCCCTGACGCAGAGTTCAGTGAGGGATTCTTCCTTCTCAAAGCTGGAAAGTAAGTTAGCCCTGCAATGTAAGTGTTGCCAGATGGGTTGGTTTCTAGGTTTTTCAGAAGAGTAGTCTTCCTCCTTGCTGAGTACTTCATAGTTTTGCTGGGGGGACAGAAAATTCTAACAAAACAGAAAATAATAATTCTTTTGATGCCACTAGGTCATTTTTCTATCAGACAATTGAAAGGAGCCTGCAGGTTTGCTACAGGTTTGCTCAGTAAATTGGCTACCTTTCGTGTATCTTAATATGTATGGACAGAGAAGGAGGTTGTCCTTGGTCCAGTCACCTATTGTTATGCAGCTCAACAGAATATTTTGTTTACCATTTTTGCTCTCCCAAATTAAATAATAAAAGCTTTGAAAAGTTTTGCCACTTCTTTGGTGCTGGGATAAAATATAAATGGGCTTTAACGGAATGATATGCGAGTTGCTTTAGGTATTAGAGCTATAACTGTTAACTTTTAACGTTCCTTAGGCTTGAGCCCTTCATATAGTAAAGGTGAGGAGTTTTCCTCTTTTTCTTAAAATAATGAAATATTAATAGTAGACAGGTAAGTGCCAAAAGGGATCTTGAATTTATTTTGCAGGTTGAAAGGTTAGCATTGTTTCCTTCCAAGATGCGACATTCTTTCCATCTGCCTGTAAAGCAACAAGTAACCCTTAAAACAGATTGTATCCAGTTCACTGTTTTATTCCAAGCTTAACATCAAGATGTATAAAACCAACACATGAAAGGAAAGTTTAAGGCACTTGCCAGGCTAAAGGTTGTAGTTCTTTCTGCAAAACTTTACAAATGCATGTTGCAAGTACCTTGAAAATTTCTATAGTAACTGTGCCAGACAGCACAGTGAGAAAAGCAGCTTCTGTGATTAAGGTTCAGGGAGCTTTATGGCATTTGTAGTGCTCATATGTAAAGAAGAGACAGCACCTGTTTACTTTCTCAAACAGGCAGAACATTTTTGTGGAAAGAAAACTCTTGACAAGGGTCTGGAGGTATTCATTTTTGAACAAACGGCTGATGCTTCTTTGCAGTGGGGAAGTCCGCATTCTTGTAAAGACTCCAGCTTCCCTCTCTTATTTGCAGTGTGCAGTGAGTAGTTGGTGAGGACTGATTTGTGCAAGTGGAAAAGTTAAGACTCAAAAAAAAATGGTATATGGTTTGTGGATGCAAGAAGATATGAATTTTTGGTGAGGTTTTATGGTATTTCCTTTTAGACACAGTTGTTGCAGAAAGCAATGGCTCAGAAGGAGTGGAAGGTTTAGAAGGCAACCAGATGTCTGAAGAGATGTTGGCTTTGGTGGATGAATTTGAAAACTCTTGGCCTCAGGAAGCTTTTGAGGGGGCACTGGAGGTAAAAGGCCGTCGGATGGACTTGCAGGGAATCCGGGTCCTAAAGAAGGGGTCTCCAGATGGACTGGCTAGCTCCTGTTTTGGAGACTGCGGTGATGATGATGATGAAGCTGAATGGGTAAGCTTGGCTCAGTTTACCTAAATCTTGTACCACCTTGTTTTTATGGAGGGAAAAACTAGGACAGTTAGTGGGTTTCATGTGGGAATATGTAGGGGTGTCTCCCTAAAAAGGGTGTCTCCCTAAAATAACTAGGTAATGGCTTGGGTACTTTCCACCCCCTAATGGAAAGGCTTCCACATCACCGAAGTAGCAAGAGAGTTTAGGTGCTGAATGATGCTGGGTGCCTCCAAACTTCTGGCCGACAGTAAAGGAGTTGATTTTATAGCTAGGAAGCAAGCAGAGCTTCAGTATGTTTTCCAAATCTTTGCATGTTGTGTAAGCACAGCTTGCTTTGTTAGGACCTCCACATCTGACAGTCTAATTTTTAAAAAATTAAAATAATCGTTGTTATTCTTTAACTGACCTTGCATTTTTCTTCTAGTAGCATGCAGTTATATACAGAGGGGGGGGAAAGCATTTATCCCAAAGTTTGTTACCTGAAAAATAACAAATTATTTATTGTCATCATGTTAACAACAAAACATATGGTGCAAAATAGACTTCAGTTCTCCAGCAGTTAAATCGTTGTGTTTGCATGGTGTGATGTAGAGAGACTGAGCAGGCTTAGAGAATGGCTTGGGAGGGAGGCAGGAGGGAAGCAGGAGGGAGAGGTTTGAGCTGATCTGTAACAGCTCTGAAACTGGTTCTTTGGGGTAGAACAAGTTATGTATTGAAATTGATTGTATTTGTGATGGTTTTTACTGATAACCTTGCTGGTATGGTTCTTGTCTAGATCACTTTCCAGGTTAAACGTTTAAAGAAACCAAAAGCTGAAAGTGTGGATTTACAGGAGCCTGTTGGGAGAAGGGGAGAAGGAACTAATGGAGAAAATGAGAACTTTTACCGAACTGCCTTGGAGATCAGTGGACCAAAGATACCTGCTCCAGGACCAATAGGTAAACTGCTGCTTCTAGAAAAAACAGATTCTCTGCAGCTTTTATTTGGCACTGTTTTATAATATACATAACATGTCTACATAATGAAATAGGCCCTCTAGATGACTATTTGAAAAAAATAGGATTCTCTTCCATCAACACCTTCCTCATGAAAAAAGGCATGACTTTATATGTTGAATAAAGAATTTGTAATTAATTCCTAGAACTTCTGGTGATTAAGTGATAAGAGTAGAGCAAGCGTGACAGACATTGTGCAGAGCAAGTAGTAAAGGAGAGATTTTCTTAAGTTATATTTCTTTAAAACTGGATAAGCAGAGAAATTTATCAGATGAGAAGGTGGTCTTTGACACAAATAAAAGACATAATTTAGAAATAAGAGTAGTAAATTTGAGATGGTTTAATAATAATAAAAAAAGGCATGTATACTGCTGTAATTGATTTGATGACATTATAAAAGAAAGTTTAGAGACTGACTTCCAGAAGACTGGATTTCCAGAAGAGATAATGAAAAAGACTTTAATACTCTGATTTCTAGCCTGGCTCAGCAAACCTTTTATAATCTAGGAAATGTATCTGCTAGCATAAGGTGTTTTGTAAATCACTATAAAGTGCAATGTCTTTTGCTTCTAGACAACTTTTTTTTTTTGCTCCAGGAAAAAGGCATGATTATCGTAGCCTGGGCTGGCCTAGTCCTGATGAATGTCTGAAACTCCGTAGAGTGGAGCTTACAACTGTAGCAAGCACATGGCTCGCTGTTTCTGCTAAAAATATTGAGTAAGTATTATGTATGTGAACCTTAACTAAATCACTCACAAAAAGGAAGGCAGTTGTGTGGTTTTGGGTGTGTGTAAACTGAAAATTTTAGTGCTCTATTAAAGTAAGTAGGAACTCTGCAAGGATTTTAAGGAATTTTGAAACCATTATGTGGCATTGAATCAGTGGCTTGCCAAGAAGAGTGCAACTCTAGACTGAAGATCCAGTTTCTTGGGCTTCTCAAGCTACTCACATGAGATTCCAACAGGTTCTGGGCAAATTCCTCACTAGGCAATTTTGAAGTGACTCTTCCCTTTCCTTTTCCTGGCTGATTCAATTGCTTTTATTACCTTTCTAGCATTACAGAACACATCGATTTTGCCACTCAGCTGCAAGAACCAGCTGTGGAGCCCCTTTGCAACCCCAACCTCCCTGCCAGTATGCACACTTTGGACCACCTGCAAGGCGTCTCAGGTCGGGCAAGCCTGCATTACACTGGAGAGAGTCAGCTGAAAGAGGTATGCCACAATTAAAGGCTGTCACACAAAAAATGCTCCTACCACAGCAGGTTAAAAGTGCATTTAGCTCATTGCCCTGTCTCCAAAAGTGACCTTCAGTGAGTGGACACCTAGAGAAAATTGTAAGAACAGTGGAAACTGTAAATGTAAATTTGAAAGCTTCCAGGATGTTTTCCCAGACTTCTGTGATTTTGTCTGAAGGAAATCCTAAGATAGTGTTAGTATCTTTGTAGATACAGCCTTTAATGGAGGAGTTGGTGAAAGAGAAGTTTGAACATACACAAGCTTTCGATGTTCACAGTATCCTGTGGCATGGAGATGCAATATGTGAAGATGATACTGGCCCAAGAAACACAGTCATGTTTATGTTGGAATGGCTTGGAGTATCTCTTAAAAAGCTGAGGAAAAAGGCAGTCAAGAAAATGGTGTTTCTTACCAGGTTCCATCCTCTGAGCTCTTGTTTTTCCTCTTCACTAGGTGCTACAGAACCTTGGCAAAGACCGATACTCGCCACAGTCATTAGAACAAGTTGGTACTCGAATAGCCAAAGCTTTGGAAAAGGTATGTGTGAATGAGGAAAAGAATGATGTCTGGAGTTAGTGCTCATACCTGACTTGAGAGTCAATCCCATCTCAAACTGTCTGTCTGAAATTCTTGTCTAGAATTGTGTTAGTATTTGGATTTGAGATTTGCAGGCCATTGGACTATGTCTTGTGCCTATGGATGGGAGTCTCGTCTGTCAAATATCTTGCATACCTCTTTACTAAAATCAAAGCTTCTCCAATTTTCTCATACTTCTAGCCTTATGGCATCACCCCTATAGTAAGCAGGGTTTTGAATACACGTGTTGATATGTATTCAACTATTGTAATAGTTTCCCAAAAAACTTGAAATCCAGCACTGTTTTACCTTTCTGCTCTTCTATTCCTTGTTGTGGTATCTCTCAAAGCAGCACAGACTTTAACATTGATTTTGATCTTATGGGTAGTGAGAGTTGAGCTGTAGCTCAAGCCAGTGGCTGTGGTCTCAGTGTGCAGCAGTCAGGTGGGCAACAGCTGCCTGTTTTCTACCTACCTCCTTTTACCATGCGCAGTGCTGAGCTGAAGGGGCATGGCCATTTGGGCAGCTGTAGGACACCATGTGCAAGGCTCACCTGCTCTGCCCACAGAAAACCAGACCTCCTGGCTAGATTGAGGCCAGTGAAGCCTGGAGCTGGAGACAAGGGTAGAGGGACACAATTTTTCCCAGGATTGATCTAGGTAGATAAGATGGAGGGATTGTATATTACATGCTTACCAAGAGTGAGAAGGATATTCCATACTATTAGAGAAAAGAGGATTCAAGCAAATTAGCTTGGTACCATGGGCCTATTGTGAAGCCTTCTGAAGAACTCAACCGAGTTTTGGCACTTAAGGCGATATAGCTTTGTCATTCCTGTAAAGTAATGATGTTACCATTATACTTACTTCGTAAGATGTAGTTTATTTTGCCTCCATATAATACAGTAACTTTTTCCTTCTTGAATGCTACTGTTTTCACTGGAGACAGTCAGCAGGCTTTATTCACATGAGCTGAAAATCTGGTACTAAGAGACCAGAAACAGATTTCCCAATAAGGAGAATTTGTTGGAAATAAAATGCAGTTCTTCAGTATACCAATTTCATTCATTAGTCACAAGAGCTAATCAAACAAATCAAGATGGCTACTTATCTAATTGCATATGTGAGTGTAAACATTCATTTACTTTATCTGAGTCCACAGAATTGAAACATGTAGTATCTTCCATTTGAATTTTGCTCCAGCTGTACACCATATGTACATGGCATGGAGTCAGCCAACTAGAGACACCAAGCTTAATCAGCTAGACGTTCCAGGCTTCTGCTGTGAGCTCCCTCCCAGAGAATCCTCTCTTTACAGTGACTACAGCGAGCCTAAGGAGGCCAGGCTTCTAGCTTAGCTAGCTAAATTTGGTGCCTTAGTTGGCTAGTGTGTGTACACACCCAGATGTTCAGCAGCTGGCAGCTGGTTAGAAACTGTTGGGGCTGCTGGAACTGTCATTGCTGTGTAAAGCTTTTTAGCTGCTATTCTCTTCTTCAGAAGATGATGTTTGCATTTGAGACTTGTGTTTCACTTGGCAATCTCACTGGGCTGGAATTACATATATGCTGTTGGATAAGAAACTACTTTCACTGTTTTGGAGTAGTCTAATGCTATTTTTAAATGTAACATTCTCTAACCAAACTGTGGAGTAAGCTGAAAGAGAGTGGAAGACAGGAAGTCTGTTCACTACAGGTCTGCCCGCCTGATTTTCCTGCTCGCCTTCTCTTGCCAGAACCAGACGTCGTGGGTGCTCTCCAGCATGGCAGCTCTGTACTGGAGGGTGAAGGGCCAGGGCAAGCGGGCGATCGACTGCTTGCGGCAGGCGCTGCACTACGCCCCCCACCACATGAAGGTGCGTGCGCGTCCGCCCGCTGCGCGCGCGGGCCGATTGCCCCAGGTACCGCGGCACATGGTGGCACAGGTACCATTAAAGCCAGCCGTGGTGTGTGACGAGTGTGTGTAACGCACCAGGTGCTCACTGGTTGTGGTGGAACTTGGAGTTCTTCGCTACCTGTTTGGTGTGGGCCGTTTCTTAAGAAATTCTGCAAAATGTTTCAGTGGGTTTGACACCTCTCTGCATAATGCAGGCTTGAATTTTCCTTCACCGCATGGGGCTTTCAGTCTTAGTCAGCCTTTGTCTGGACAGGTCTTCGATCTAAAATGGAGGGGGTAAGAAGGGGGGATGTCTTCTTGTTATGCTTTCAAAGAGCAATATCTAAAGGAGTAACTTAAATGCTAAAAAACGGTTTTGAGCTGCGAATCTTACATGCACTCTAGTGCCTGATGTTGTGCATCAGTTTAGTGGAAGGCACAATATTTTGAATCTAATCCTTCCGTTGACTGTTGCAGCTGACTGAAGTGTGTAGTGGCCTGCACTTTGCCGTGTGGTACGCTGGCCATTATAATATCTGTGTTAGATACAAAGCTTCCCCCTGCAGCGTATGGTGATTGGGGTATAGACTTCTAACTCCACACTGCAAATCTCATTTTGATACCAGAGAGCCAAAATGGGTAGCACTAAACCACTTTTTGGGTCAGTGTCTTAAATCCTTATCAGAAAAATGGGAGACAACATAGTTTACACTGTCAGGATATTATTAGGAGTATTTAGCCATTAACTCTGTAAGAGCCTCAACTAAGGCATGTTTATGTATTCCACTCCACATTTTCTGTGTCCATGTCCTGTAGTCCTGTCTCTTTGCCCTTGTCCTTTAAAGCAGGATAGGGATTGGCGTGCAAGTTGAGTACAGCCACCTTCAGCTTCTTTTACTGTATTCCTGTTTAACAGGGTTATGGCTCCTCAGAAATGGGGCCCTTAGCTGTAGGACTGGTAGGTGCCGCAGTATGGATTGGAAACTACAGTTTGTTAAAATGATGGTACTGTGGTGCTGTTATCTGGCAATTTGGTGTAGTGCTGCTGGCTTGTGCTCCAAACTCGTGCCTTGTTTTTGTTGTCCATGTTGCAACCATGTAGCCACCAAAGAAAACCTGTACATCTTGTTTGTAAAGATGCAGCCGCAACTTGAACTTAGTTAGCACTTACTGAACAGCTGTTTTATATTATTCTTTATCCTCCTCTATGGCTTATCCACTCTCTCTACTTTCTCTTACCTTTTCTCATCTGGATAAGAGAGAATTAATTTTCTTGTGGGCTGTTTTTGTCTTTCTGACTTTCACAATATTTGCCTTATAAACCCTGAATGACTTGCACTCTAAAGGGACTCCTTGCCTTGTAGATATCAGCAAGTCAGGGATCAAATGCATCCAAAATTGTCCCATTTGAGGCATCTAAGACTTGATACTAAACAATATGTTGTCCTCTGTAGGTGTAAAGTCCAGCTCCCAGAGGCTTTGTTACAAGTGTCAGGGCTTAGTCAGTCTGACATGGACACAGACTGGAAATCCAGAAAATAAAGAACTACCGTCAGGGCAACTTGGGAAAATTTGATTAAGAAGTGTTGGCCAACATCATATAGGGATTCTGTGGCAGAGGCAGGATAAAAAACTGTGCATCAGTTGTGCTAATGGTTAGGCCCTCTTTTTCCACTTTTCTACTTTTATGGAATAGCCAAGGGAGGATGGGTTGTACAAGCAGCTTGTCTTATCTCTTCTTAGGAAACATCTATTCTCCCACTCTCTCTCTCTCTCTCTCTTTTTTTTTTTTTTTTTTTTGAAGGAGGGTAAACTAATATAATAATACCTAAAATAAATGTATGTGCTAGGACACTAGTGAGTTAACTTTTAAATGATTATCTCTGCAAGACAATCAGTTGAGTAATAGATGTCTCTTGTGAGCAGATGCATGTATAGGAGATTTTTTATTTATGACTTGGGTCCAAACATCATTTTATTATTAAAAATTAAATAAAAATAAAAAGTCTGACTCATTGCTTTCCAAGTGACCAGAGATCGAGTGGAGTGACCAGATGGTGGAGTCTTCTGGCAGTCTTCCTGACCATGAAATAGTTTCAAAGGAAAGAACCTACACTGTGTTTATTGCTCTTCTCTTCTAGGATGTGCCACTAATCAGCCTCGCAAACATCTTTCACAATGCAAAACTCTGGAATGATGCCATCATCGTGGCTACCATGGCAGTGGAAATAGCCCCTCACTTCGTGGTTAATCATTTCACCCTGGCAAATGTCTATGTAGCAATGGTGAGTATGCTGTCACCCAGTCATGTCCTGTCTTTAGGTACAAGCAGCATTCAAGAAATAGAGGTAAGGTCACCAAGCAAGAATTTTCTTCTGAATGTGCTTTTTGGAGAGTGTCAATTCTTATTACTCATTTAATATTTGAAGGGCAGTATTTTTTTTTATAAGCTGGCTTCACAACGCTGTCAGCAGAGCTTTGTTTAAGACAGTAGCAGACAATTGATAATTTTGGTTGGCTACCTGTCTAAACACAGGATACTTTTATAATACTGGAAAACTGATGGTAAACTGAGTATCTGGCCTATAGAGCTTAATTTAGCATAATGGGTAAAACAGTTCACAATTGCCATGAACAAACACAAGGGAAGTTTAGTTTTACTATCTGATTGCTCAACACCCAAAATAATTTACAGGTCAGATTCAAATTTCTTCCTACTGTCTATGTATTTTAATCTACAATATAGTTTTCAGTTACTTACTCTGAGCCCACGATGTTCATTTCTTTTATCTAACTAATGCTGGACAGGCTCCTGCTTGTTTCGTTCTTAACACTAGCAAGGCCAGGTCCAATATATTGGGAGGATAAAAGAGACGCCGTTAAACTGAGACATAGTTGATATATTTGTACGTCAAAAGTATTTTCAGTTGTAGCTGTTCCTTTGCACCTCTGTTCTTCTTTTAGCACTTGTTATAGATTTGTGCTTAATGTTTTGCTCCTCTTGTAGAGGGGATCGCAATGATTACAGGGGAGGTTGAGCAGGTAATTGTGTATTATGGCTATTGGAGTAGGGTTGAAAAGAGTAAAATGTGCAGTGCTGTCAGATGCACAATGGGAACTGAAGGCAGGCATGACTTCATTCTATTAACGTATTTCTTGTGACAGTAGCTTGAAAGAAATGAAGTAGAAGCTGGATGGTTGAGTTACCAGTGTGTGTGTGTGGTTTTTTTTTTTTTTTTTTTTTAAGTCTGTCTATGGATAACTTCCTTTTCCACAGATCTGAGAGATTTCTCAAGGAAACCATATATTCATTATTTGAAATGTGTGTAGCAATAGGACAAAATTCATCTTCTGAATCAAATTATACTAAAAGTGGCTAATTTATTTCATATTTCATCTGCTATATTTGAGAGCTAAATCTGACCAGTAAGTTGTAGATGATGTCATTCTAATTAATACTATAGCATCATAGAGGCCAACTTTTTTTATTATTTGTAAGGATTAGCAGCCAGTTGCCCTATAAATGAAAGCAGTAATTTTAGAGAGTGAGAATTCTGTATGGATTCTGTAGAAACTACTGCTGTGAGGAGGAAACTGGAAAGAACATCAAGGTAAAATCAGATCGCTGAAAATATAAATGTAAATGATTATATCTGAAAACAGTATTATTCATACTTTTGTTTGTTCCACAGACTAATCCAAGATTACCTGTATAATTTGTTGGAACTGTATTCAAATATAGTTTTTAGAACTCAAGACTCAAGGACTTGAGCATTGATCTAGTTAGTGTCAACAATGTGACTAAGAGTAGATATCTATATTGCACAAACAAAGATACAGAGAAAAGGAGCTGAAGTTGAGGTAATGCCGGAATGAGATCCTGTTAGATCTGTCCAAAGATCTGTCTTATTTGCTCAAAAATCAAGAGTCCATAAATGAAGTACTGTAGCATGCAGTCTGCTTTCACATAAAGATATTAGCTTGTTAACAATAATTCATCACAGGCATGCCCTAGGAACCACTGCTGCTTGAAAGAGAAGATGGCTAAATCCACCCTTAGATTTTAAAGATCTTTTAGTGGTTCATTTTAGTGTATTTGGGGTGAGGGTACTTTACATTGTATCTTCAGAATTCCAAAATATATCATAAAAGTACCTTCGGGTTTACCAGGAGAAAAGAAAAGAAAAGAAAAAGCAACCTCAAAATCCCTCAAAATACCCATGTTTCATTCTAATATATCACTGCATGTCAGTGCACATTCTGGTTAATAAAAAGTGGAGTAGTATAACTGCATAGATTTCAGTAGTAAAAAAAAGATGATATTTCAGTGTGAATGCTTCTTTATGCCATTCCAGAGTCCAGCTTGTCAGCTGAAATTGTCTGGCTGCTGTACGCTCTAAAAGTATTACTACTTAGACTTCATTTAACTTTGAATAATCTTTTAATGCTACTTTTAAGTTGTTTGTAAAAGTGGCTGTTCAGCAAGGTTGACATTTTTTGTGGTGTCCAAGATTTTAAAGCTTTAAAGTTTTATGTAAATTCTGACTGAAATCATTTTTTTCAAAGTTATTTTTAAATCAAGAATGCTAAGATGTACTAATTAGAAGGAAAAAAAAAAAAGGAGAATTGGTTAATGATGCTTATCCATGATTTGATTCCTTTCATATATTGTTCAGACTTGGGACAGTGTATTGTCAATATATTTGGGAGAAAGTAAAAATAATAAGACTTGGTTCAGTTACTTCTGTACACACTATACCATGCAACTGACTGCTAAGGCCAGGAAAGGAATAGAAAATGTTACTGTTCAGTGCTTTTAGAAACTGATTTCAAGTGATCTTATCCTTTTTTTTATAGGAGGAGTTTGAGAAGGCCATGAAATGGTATGAGTCAACATTAAAACTTCAGCCGGAGTTTGCCCCAGCCAAGAATCGAATCCGCACCATCCAGTGTCATTTACTTATGAAAAAAGAGCGACGGTCTCCTTAGAGATCAGCATCTTTCTCTTTTCTTTTTTTTTAAAGTCATTATTCACTATTCTGCTTTTAAGTGTGCTAAGATAAATTGATGAATCAATTTTTAAAAGACTGTTAAAAGTCTTAAAAAGGAATTGGATCAAAGGTTCTTTTTATTTTTCTCAGATATGGGAGAATCTTGGGAAACACATTTCACAGACCATAATTTTAAAACATCTCTGTAAATATTAAACCAAGAAACTTCCATGAGTCCATGACCACCTGTACCAAGTCTCAGGCACCTCTGGTTTTCCATAATGCTCAGATTGGCATCAGCATCCAAAATAACTTCATGTTTTATAGTCTAAGTCAGTGGAAATGCAAAGCACACACCTTACCAGATAGCAAGAAGATATAATCAGTAATTCCTCCATGAGAAACTCATGCTTTGTCCAGTATTGTTCAGTCCATACATATTACCTGCTCCAAGTTAGCTTTGGAAGGAGGGAGACAGGATTTCAAATGTTTATAAAATGTATTTTAGGAACATCACATTTTTGCAATTGTTTATTTCTGTTGGAGGATGAAGGAGGATCAAGGAAAGGGAATACCAGGACACTAAAGTCAAAGCAAAAATTCCAATAAGCTATTTTATATTTGTATATTCATAGCCCTCTGCCTCCCTGAGTCGTCGTTTTACTAATTCTTTCTTCACTGTATTTCTAGCCATTTCAGAATAAGGTGCAAGTTTATGCTCTCTCTGAGCCATAAGGACTTTCAGCTGCTGAGGAGGAGAGGTGGTGTCAAGGTATCACAACAAATGAGTTGGGTGGAATATTTCCAAATCAGTTCTCTTTGGCTGGTGGAGGACGTGATTCTCCAGACATCATTGTTGAATCAACAAGGGCACATATTGGAAACAAAATAAATTGTTTATGAACAAAACACAGCCTCTCATGTCTCTGTCTTGCGCTGTTTGAAAGAGCCTGGGCTGAGGGAGCTACAGCCTCTCCTTAGGAGCAGAGCTGGGAAAGCCTTTAATGCTCCTGATTAGGTGATGACTGTCTGCGTGTCCATGGAAAATTACCCACACGTCTGTGCCCAACTCCATTTCTGTGGCAGAGGGAAATAGCGGGAAGTTAACTACATCAGTTGGCTGTCATGTAACCTGCCCTCCAGCTTTCCATGTCAAACGTATTGCTTAGCAATTCTTTTTTAAGAACTAAAAATGTTTATGAACTTACCTCTTTCCTTTTAATCTTTTCCCTTTTCAGTGACACAAATTAAGAGTAAGGATGGCAGTGATGGAAATGGTGACATTAACGCATTTTTTTAATACTGTAGCTATTTACTTCATAAAAGGATCCCTGAATGCTTTTATACAGAACTGAAGATGAGCGGTTCTAATACAAATGCCTACTTCTGTTTTACTGGAAGTAATTTTTATTCATCTAGAAAGCCTGATAGAAGTATGAACAAGTGCTACGCTTGGGTAGATGATTTTTTAATAAAATTGGGTGAATGTATTTAATTTTTGATTGTCAACCAGCAGCATGTCAGATTTTATTCTCTTCCTGAGGCTCCTTGGAAGTTGGCAATTGTTGCATGAAGATAGGAAACTACATATACAGTAATCTCTAAGTTGAGAAAAAGGTAATTTCCTAGAAGGTCCAATACATCACTAAGATGAAGGACTGGGGTAGTGAATTCCAGAAACTTCTCACGTAGTGGTCTAGTTTGGGTGGGGAGCCCAGTAAGGCAAATGGAAGTACATGGAAGGATTCTGCTGGAGAAATAGCAGAAGTCTTGAACTAAAACAACATGCAGAGAGGCTGCCTTCAGTGACTTCTGTACTGAGCTACCCTGCCTTTTTAATGAATGATAAATTCTTGAGAGTTGTTTAAATACATGGGTGAATCTTCTGTTTTTTGTGTTAAATGTAAAATGTTAAAACTTAGGATAGGAGATCCTGCTTATTTCTGATCTTCCTCATGTCTAAGTCAAACAAAGAGTATGTCACATGTAGAATTCTTTGTGCTGCATCTGTTTCACTGCTGATGAGGGATGTTGGGGTTTAAGTGAAGAGTAAGGCAGGTCCATAAGAACCTAAAGCAGCAATATGTGGAGCACAGATGGTCAGTCTTGGCTTTGACGAAGATGGAATTAAAATAGACCTTTTCTGGTTCACCAAGTATTATGCTCATAGATATGGATGGGCACTTGAGAGGGGAGAAAAAAGATGAAAAAAAAGCTGATAGGCAAGATGTAAACTGACATGAGTATTAACGAGTAATTTGAAGAAACGCAGCAAACCACACAGTACAGAGACATCTTACAAAAGGCTGGAAAAGTAAGTCTTGTGTGCATGCCCTAAATTGGTATCACCATCAAGCAGAGAGCAGAGCTATAGCTCTTCTCAGTCAGTCTGCATTTTCAGAGAGCTCATACCTTGTAAACGCTCCCTCCAAGCCATTCTGTGGAAGTCTGGCTTCTTGTAATCTTTTCTGAAGCTTCATTCAGTACTTTAATGAAACTCGTTCTGCCGTACTCTCATCAAATTTGTATGTGCAGTTGTTCGTGTGTTCAGATATTGTATGCTGTATCTGCCACGTAACTAGTTTTGGAATAACCCATCCTTCCTTCTCAACTGTCTTTTCATAAATCTTGGGTACTGCCTCTAAGTGCTGTGATTTCCATAAGCTACTGCTGTAAAGAGCGGTGCATGAAATCAAAGCAGGTTGCCCAAAGCCAGCAATAGAGCCTAAAGATTTCATCTGTTGTTGAATCCAAGGAGGGGATGAACAAATGGAATAATTGTCTTCTGTGTTTTAAAACCTTTTGTGTAAATGTTTTTTTAAAAAAACGGTTTGACTGTGTTGTAGTGCTAGGGTTGAGATCAGTGAATCACACTGATCTTACACTAGCTGGGCAGCGTGTCGAACAGGACATCTGTATGTTATGGAGCAAAGGTGTGATATTCTTTGTGAGATGAGCTAGCTAGATGAGGGTTAAATTCATTTCAGTTAAGCTGTTTTAAAATAAGTATTTTGTTTTGTTTTTCTAAGCTGGTTGTCTGGCTTCATTTTTAGTAAATGAAAAAGATGGTATTTCCATAGGGTGACCCACCCTCCTTCTTGCAGAACATGAGAAATTGCCTGTTGGAATTGCCAGTTCCTGCACATTGGCTACTAAGGTATTGTACTAAGGGCCCACAAATGCAAATGTGATTTCTAATAATGAGGCTTAGGAATTCGTGTTAATCACTGAGGTAGTCTAATCTGGGATGGAAGCAAAAGTGACTGTAGCAAAATCCTGTCTTTCCTAAGAAAGGAACTTGCAAGCTCTCAAGGATGCAGCATTAGACATTTGGACTTTCAAGAGGCATCAGCATATTGTCCTCTCAGAGAAATACAAGCCACAGCCTCAGCTGCCAATAGCCTGCTTTGTTTTGCCACCAAAGAATGAGGGACATCTCTGCTGTTCTTCAAATGTACCTAGAAATACTGCTATTTAAATGAAGTGCAAGTGGAGAAAAGTCCATTTGTTTTCAGGTAGTGTTCTGGTCCTCGTGTCCGCATGTCCCTTTGGCTTTTGTCTGAAGGCAAAACTTATGGGAAGAGAATCGGATATTTCTGCCTAAGTAATGGTGGCTTCGATTCATCATTGATCAAATAGTGTCGTCCTGACCAGCACAACTGATACCAAAAAAATAACCCTCATATGGCATGTTGGCACTCACTGGGACCATAACATAGGATTCAAACAACAGATTTTGCAATGTAATTGTAGAAATTAGCAATTCAGGACCTCTTAGTTTTAGGCCTGTTTAATTAATAGTAACATTCCTAGCCCCGCTGCTGTCCTTTCTGCATGACTTAGGGGAAGACATTTCCCCTTCTATCCGTACCTCTTTTCCTCCTACGCTTTGTCTGATGTCTTTTTAGAACATATGGGGTTTTTGGAGCTGGAATCATTGCTGTTTATGTCTTCATATGAGAAACAGTTGTAGTGCCAGAAAATACAAACAGTAACAGCACAAATTAAAAACAACTGTGTGGAGACTTATGAAGCAGGGAATGGGAAGAGTTTAATAGTCACTCTATCAACATTCAGAGCAAAAATGCTTTTAAAGAACTTCCCTTGGCATTTGGAAAAATGCAAGCTCTTTTTCTTCTTCATAATTACTAGATGTTGTGTGGAAGGTTCAAGATGATCCTCCATTCTCAAGCATCACTAGAGATGTCCTTTTGGAGTGTTGCAGGTTACCTTGATTTCTTACACGAACAGCTGGCCATGCTTTGCTTTGCTGGTCAGTGAAGCTTTTGAAAGCCAGTTGTCCCAAAAACTTAAGGTTTCTCACTTGAGAGGCTGCTTGTGTTGTTTCTGTTTTCATTTTCTGCACATACTCAGGTGTCCCAGATATGACTCAAAAAAAAGAACATGGTTTGCTGGACACTGGAACTTGTGAGACCTTACTTCCAACGTGGTCTTGTAGCTGAAGTCTGTGGTGGTGGGTCATCCCTGCAAATGGCTAAGAGGAGAGGACAGGGAGCTTGCATGCTGTATTTCTGCAGGAAATCGGACCAAGGTTGATTCAACCAATACTGCATGCATGTAAGGTTAAGAAAGTGAGGGGTCTTGCTGAGTTAAGAGTGACTTCTCATACTTAAAGCTTTTCTCAGTTTTTTAATGTATTGATAGGATCAGGACTGATTAGAATAAGCTTTTATAAAGTTTTGATTTTTCACCCTTTATCCTAATTATCTGCTTCTGGGTTCTAGAAAAAGAACAGTAGTATCTAAGTTGCATAATATCATAAGAATGCTACAAAAGGAGCGGATTCAAATAGAATGATCATGAATTAGCTTTGAGGTATATCCCACCTAAAGACATTTTTTAAGATTGATATTTTGATATTATTATTGTTATTTGGTTTCAGACTATTCCTTCCATGTTCAGGCCTTCAGAGTCACGTTAGTAGTAGTTTGATAGAGTTTTGCTATTAATATTTATTTGTGCCCATGCCATGCCTGATGTTTCATGGAAAAGACAGTGTCTGTTG